TCTTACAAAGTTCCAGTGGTGCAAAATTGTTTCACCATAAAACTGAGTGTTCTAAGGGCCTATCAAATCTGATTATATATATGTATATATATATATATATATACACACACACACACACATGCATTCGTGTGAAAACACAAGAGACTAATGAGATCATAGCTTGAAGAGATTTAAAGAAATATTTGAACATGTATTTTAAATTGTGAAACATAACTATAGGCAAAGGAAGTGTTATCGGTCCTTTTCTATCTTTAGTTTTACATTTTCATAAAAAGTACCCATGGTCCTAAACAGTACCCACATTTCCATCTCTCCAGGGAACAACATGTACATAGGTAAATTAAAAATTTTTAATGCAAATATAGTCATCCCTTCTTCCGCCAAGTCAATTACAAAAAAAAAGAAAGATATAAAAAGCCAACCTATCAATCAGTAAACCAAAAAAAGACAGCATTCATTTATTCATTCATAGGTTTACCTTATAATGATCTTGGGCCTCACTTATTTACCATGTGCAATTGTAGGATGTAGATAATTCACTGTCGTTATTAGAGACTTGATTAAATATGTGAAATGCAAGGGTAAGCCAAAAAAGTATTGCTAATAAAGTTTCAGTTCATGTCGGCATGAGTTTATTACAAATAAAATATTTTAAACACTCATCTGTTATCAATGGGTTGGCTATAGATTAATTGATTGATATATTAGGATTGGTCGCTTTAAGACACTTTCAGTACAAAGGTCCAGCCAAAGCAGTGGTTTCTGAAGGGATCACCTGGGTCAGTTTAGTTCAAGGAAGAGAGAATAGCTCAGAAGGTAACAGCAACAATTTTGGGGCAATTCAATGGGGGCAATTATGAAAGTTTTTTTAATGGAGCTTATTGAAATGTTTTAAGAAAACTGAAATCTTCATTGATGAGAAAATGACCAACAAATTCATGCCAAAGTGTTTTTCCTCATCACGACAATGTATCTACTCATTCTTCAAGGGAAGCTGGGGCTGTCTTTGGAAATTTTGTTGCGAAACCTTATCACATCCAGCCTATATCCATGATCTTGCTCCTGCAGACAGACTTCTTTTGGTCCCCAAACTCAAAGAACATTTTAAAGGAACCCATTTTGAGTCCCTCGAGGATGCCCAAACTGCCACTTTGCTGTTAACTAGGAATCACAGACGACAGAGGTCACTGGAGATTATTTAGCGACTGGAGACCCTGTCTTCAGAAGTGGAAGGACCTAGATGGAGACGACATCAAGAAATAATAGTAGCTTCACATTTTGATATTTTTAAAAATAAATGTTTCCATATTTGTTGTGGCAATATCTTTTACCCTCATCTATAACCTTCCATTCCATAACAAAGTTCCTCAAGGCTTTAGTCTCCTTTTCACAATGCACGCGAATACGTGTTGTCAGTGTATTGAATACCTGTATTTAAAAATACGTTTGTCAAAAGTGCTCATATTAAACCTGTTCTGCTTACTGTCATATCGTAAAGATTTTTTTTCATTCATAAGCTTTATTAAATAAGATTAGTACAAACATGAGATGTCATGTATGTTTCCCTAGGATTTTTATACTGAACTCAATTGGAAAGCGACGAAACATGAACTCCTTTTTTTTAACCCCCCAGTGCAGGCCTCTGTTCTTTCTCAGGCATGTCTCCTGAATGCCAGGGGAGCTCCTGCAAAGAGAACCCGAGCGGCTTGGCCTGTAGTTTCAGAAAGAATCAAAAACATGCAAATGAAAATTACACTTGCAGTTTGTTTTGTGAAAGTTTGGAGCGAGAAGTCTCCAGTGAGCAGAAAGAAAAGGTTAGCAAGTTCTAATATCTAAAATGATCAGTCATTCACTCCTCATGTCTCCTGTGAACTACATAATGTCAATGCTGTCACAAAAGCAAGGCAGGAAAATCAAAGTCCTAACAGCTTTCATTCAGTAGGAAAAACAAAAAACAAATCCCTGGAATAATTTTTTTTTGCTTCCTCTCGAGTGCTTTCATTTTGCACAACATGCATTTTATAATTCTTAATTTATATTCAGCCTCACTGCTCTCTCTGGCTTTCAGACTTTACCCAGTTTCTCCATGTGTACTTCAAAGGGTTTTGTTGTTGCTATTTTGCAGTTTAAAATAGGTGGTTCTCAGTTCATTCCAAAGAAGCGTAAGGATGTGAAAAAACATGATGCTAACCTCATAGAGCTGCAAACGATTATTTCAGGATAGTAATAATACCTATCGAAACCAAGAATTGATGAGCAAACTGGATTTATTCTTTCTGTGGCATTTACATTGTCTCGCCTTATTCTAACAGTCCTCAAATCACCAAAATGAGGCTTGAAGAGATTCAGAAATCTGCCCAGAGTCTCAGATAATTCAATTTATGGGATTTTACATATGTTTTCCAATCTTGACTTGCATAGAAATAACCACTGATTTACTTATTTAATTACTTAACAAATATGTCCTAAAAAATACTAAGTACCAGGCAGAGTGTTTCAGGGAGGGAATACAGAGTGTAGTAAATTTTGATTCTTGCCTTCAAAGACCTTACAGTCTAGTGTGTAAGAGAGATTTCTTAATAAGCTGGCAGTGATAAAATAGATGCACATAGCCTCACACAGTGAAACTGACACAGTAACTTTAAATACTATGAAGTTGAAACTATTTATAATTAATAAATGTTTATAACTAGCAGAGTAGAAAATACTTAATAAATCAAAACACATCCAAAAATAGTCATTGTGCTTTCACATCATCAATATAAATAATAAAAGTAAAATTCAATCACATAAGTATTTTTGAATTTTTAATGGTATAAAAATGTTCATGGGAAAGATCTTTGAATATGAATGTTTGGCTCATCACCATTTGGCTATACTAATCGAATGGGCATGAGCGGGAACGATAATTCAAAAACAATGCAGAATGACAGTCATAAAAAGGTGTTTGTTTTTTAATTTCAAGAATTAAAACAAGAGTCCATCAAAAGATACACTTGCTAAATGAAATGGCTGTGATTATTGTTAGGAGTCCTTTTGGTGCTTTTCCAGCCTTGCAGCCACAAACGACAGCACCGATCAGCCCCGTAGGCTTCTTACCCAGAAGCCTTTGGAAAGCATGTGGTCAGGTCTTTCGCATATGTAAATGAAATAAGCCTGCTCTAGCTTCCAAACTGAATGAGTGGCGCCCACCTATCATCTCTTGAAAAGCCAGCATCAGATATTACATGTCAAAACTACTTCTGGGAATGCACGGCTAAAGTCTTCTTCAAAGGGGATATGCCATTTGAGCCTGCTAAACTTCTGTAGAAAAGCTTTAGGCTATGAAAACAGGGAATCGTCACCGGAAAATGTTCTCTGTAAGTAATTTAATATTGTTATAGAACATACCACAGGCCAAGACAAGTTTTCTCATTTTGGTGGACATGATCTGAATGCCAAGCCAGGAAGGACGAGTTTACAGAAACCAAATGTGAGGTGAACATTTGAAGGACAGACGGATGCTTTAATATTGACCCACATAAGTGAACTGTAATGCTACTTACTGTATCTCTAGTCACCCGTCCACTCAAACATAACCTTGTCATGAGGTTTGTGCAATGAACGTGTTTCAGAAATATGCACGTGTTAACATGCTGTGACGGTCTGTTGTTAATTCAGTATCCTATCATTTCTATTTGCACTTCTAAGATTGTATTTCTTGAGAGAAAAATGTGTTAGGATGATAGCTACCATAGACGTGGTGCTCCAAGCCCAAGTGTTGAGGAGAAATGAACATATATTCATGATTGCTAAGTACTTTGTACCTGTCCTTAACACACAGATCACTCACTTCATATTCACCATCGCTACTGGTGTGTTCAAGGCTATGAAACACTGCCTCTTCTATTACCCGCGAGCAGGAAGTCAGGTTCAAAGATATTTTAACACACTCAAGAAAAGAAGACTTGGAGCAAAAGGTCATTATCTTCATTTTAACGTAATTATTTTCTAAGACCTTATAACTACATAGACTTTCTTCATTTTGTCACAACTGGAGCTGCCGTGTCATCATTGCCATTCACGTTTTAGTCAACAAAAACTACCGCAGGAATACTCTATGTCCTATCAATAAAAACATACCTTCTACATAACTTAAAATTCACATTTTTCCTCTCTTCACTTTTCCAGTTCTCATTATTCTCTAGAATGTATCAGTCACTGATTTATAATGTAAACTCATTTAAAGTACATATTTAAATCCGCATAACTCAGGCCTTCTATAGCATAAGGAATTATTATGTATAAATGAGTGTATTTAAAGAAAACCATTTTACATAGATACTATTTTAGTAAATTAAGATATCATTAAGGAGAGTTCTCATAATACTTGTTCCAATAATGTTTTCATTAAACTGTCTGTGTTAAGAGGTAATTTGGGATTTATCAAAGAAGAAACACGTCTGTATATTACAATGTCTATGGAATTAAAAGCAAGATTAAGATTTTCATTCTTCCAAATGAGGGAAGTTACACTATTGTGCCATAGATTGATATCGTTTGCAACTAAAATAGCCATATATTATTAAAACTGAAAACGCATAGGTATAACCTATTTGGACCAAACTGAACTTTCACTGTTAGAAATAAAGAATCCAAATGATATTGATTGTAAATGTAGACTAATCTTTCAACATATACTTATCCTATCTTGTTTTTAGTTGCAGTGAAGTTGATTCTATCTTACAGCAATAATTAGTACCAGATAATTTGAAAAGCATCAGATTTTTGAATTCTAGTAAGAACAAATTTATGTCCTTGATTGTCTAAATTAATGCAAAGGTCATCGTTTGGATTTTGTCCTATCACTGGGCATGGAGTAGGTAGGCAGGCATGAACCGTGTGAAAGTGAGTGGAGTGAAATGACATGAGCAACCTTGTTTTCTCGAAGGTGGGGTCACTTAGAGTACCACCCATTTCCTCACCACCATTCAGAGTATTACTCAAAGTCTTTTACTCACGGGAGGGTCTGCATCTTCCGCATAAACGGTTGTGATCGGTGTGCCCTTGACCGCATCTGGCGCCACCATCCCTTTGTACAGTCGTTTACTAAACACTGGAGGATAATCATTCATATCCTGGAAAACAACAGTTATGATGTTCAGTTCAAGGCAGATTAGAGATATAGTTACCTGACCTCCTCCTCTTCCTTTACCTCACACAACCCAGTAGTAGCCTCTGTCCATCTTTCCTTTCTCAATTCCATTCCTCTCACTTCAGGCGGGTGAACCAGAGGCGATTGCCAAAGATGCTACACAATTTTAATACGTGTGATATCAACTGAAGACCATTGCATTCTGGTAAGCATTCTGTCAACCAAGAAAATACCTTTCCACAGAATGCAGTGGTGCTTATGAGAGAAATGCTCTAACACACTTCTCCGGGCAAGAGTCGCCATTCAATCTCGAAAACAAGTCAGAACATATGTCTCAAAAAAAAGTATCGTTCCACGAGACAGGTGTGGAAAATGATTTTTCCACCCTTGGGTCTTTTTTTAAAGCTCACATTTGTTCCTGTTGAACACTGAAGTTTGCTTCACCTACTTAGCACAATGCCATTATTAGGACTTTTCAAATAAAAACTGCAATAACCTTTGATGCCTTTTAACAATGTGTAAGATGACAAAAGGAGGTTTTTGCTTCAGCAAACTAGAATGACACATAAAATGAAAAGCGTTATTTTTTACTCCAGCCCACTCACATAAAGACACAGAGAAATATATATACTTTTAGACAGAAGTATGAGTCCTGGTTTTACATTGGGAAGCTGACCAAAATGTCAGTGGTTGAAACCCACCAGCCACTCCATGGGAGAAAGAGGTGACAGTTGCCTTTCAAAAATATTACAGCTCAGAAACCCTGTGGCACAATTCTCCTCAGGCCTACAGTATTGTTGTGAGTCTGAACTGACTCAATGGCAGTGGGCATCCTCTTTGTAATTTTTTTTCATAGGAAAATCCCCAAATATCCATGTACTTAATTTTTCTAAGCAATTTATGTGCATCGATTATTTTCTCAATTTGTTGCTGTAAGTGTATTGTTATTAATGTATTTCAATCATCAAACTAACATTTATCAAGCGCCATCATTTTTGTGACCCAATGCTAGGCATTCGATTAGGATAACGTGGTCTTCAAAGCACATAGTTTAAAGTCAGGAAGGGTGGGCATCAGGTGATAACCTTTCATCATACTTATTCAATCGGTATGCTCAGCAAATACTACACAAATCTGGACTGTGAAGACTAAACTGACATCCTTATTAACAACCTGCAATACGATGCAGATGGCACCACCTGCTTGATGGAAGCAAGTAAGACTTGAGGCACCGCTGATGGAGAGCTGGGACCGCGTCCCTCAAGAGGGACTGCGACTCAACATATGGAAAACCAAAACCCTTACAACTGGATCCCTAAACAATACCATAGCAAATAGAGAAAAGATTGAAGTTGTCGGGATTACATTTTGTTTCCATTCACAATCAATGTTCAACAAAACAGCAGTCAAGAAATGAAATGAAATGTCTTATTTTACTGGGAAAACCTGGCTCAAGAAAAAAATCCCATTGAAGACCAAGGATGCCACTTTGACACAAGCCATGGTACTTTCAATGGCATCGTACATATGTGAAACTTGGACAATGAATCAGCGTGGCCAGAGAAAAATCAATGTATTTTAATTATGGTGTTGGCAAAAAATATTGAGAGTACCATGAACTGCCAGAAGGAAGTACAGACGTTAGAACGTCCCTTGAGGCGAGGATGGTGTACTTTGGCCATTTTATCGAGAGACCAGTGTCTGGGAAAGGACATCATGCTTAGCACAGTAGGAGGAGGAAGGTCTTTAATCGGGGATGGACAGTAATCCATCCCAACAACGGGAGAAACAAAGACGATGGTGAGTACGACCCAGGACCTGACCATGTTTTCTTCTGTGGGACTGTGGTCGCGACGAGCCAGAACTGGGATGAGAGCATTTGACAACTACAAGGTAAGTTAGTGACTTTATCTAAAATAAAATTATTAGGTGAGAGTCAAAATAATAATAAACCAAATCCCATAGAAGCAATCTTTTTTTCTGAACCATTTTATCTTTTATGATAAATTTCAAATCAGACATTTTCCCCCCTCAATAAATAGTTCTAATTAACATGACTGACTTTTGTTAAGATGATGTACTGTTTTCTAATGATAACAGCCTGTAGTATTTTGGATGATTTAGGTTATGCATATTTGTCCCCTAAGCTAAATTCCTTAATTATCTGTTGTTCCTCTCCAGGCCCCCTTTTTCACATTTGCTATTAAAAAATAATAAAGAACAAACAGTTCTACATAGTCTTTGTTATTTGCTCTAACACCACAATTTTCTTGTACATTATAAATTGGAAATACACTAATTAACTGATTGCAAACTCTTTTTCACAGAGGTCAGAGTAATTATCTAATAACTTAAATGAGCTTGCTTTTAGATTTGCAACGCAGTTGATTTCTGACTTGTGAATATGAATGACCCTGAACACTCTAATGAGAAATAAGGGGTCTAAAAGAAGGAGTAAAACTGAAAATAAAATAAATTATTTCCTTTATTTGATACAGTTTAAAATCTCTCCTATGAAAAGGAGGCCTTATTGATAAATTATAAACTTTGGAATTTGGAAAAGAAAAAGAATAATGCTAGGAAATACAGTTTCTTCAGAGTGAGGCCAGAGTAATGTTGATCATAAGGTGCCAGGCAGAACTTTATGAAAATATGCAATATGACATTTTGGCTTGCAGACTTTTCTTCCCCTCTCTTGAGGAGTGCCAATTATTTTATGAGTTAAGTCTTGTAGCAGAAGTGGTGGGAGCCTCTTGCGCCCTAACCTGTGGCTTTTGAAAGATTAAAAAAGGAGACTGACGTATTGTAATTTTTTATAACAACTAAATTTCCAAAGGCACCTAGCCCAATACGCTTGCATGAACCTCTTCCATTTTGCTATTCTTTTTCTTTGTCTTCATAGAAAAACTAAAAATGATATGAGGCCTTTTTAAGAAAATATGATTCTTCCGGAAAAAATGACACAAACCATACTTTTACACATGTATCAATACACATGTTAGCAGTGAAGAATAAACTAGCCTTTTTGGCTAGGAAAAACATCACTAGATTTACCTGTCAACTAATACACAGTCAGTGATGTTATCATTTCACTCAATACCATCAAGTGGACGCCAACTCATAGTGACCCTCGAGAGCAGGCTAGAACTGCCCCTGGGGATCCCCAAAACGGAGTCTTTAAAGAAGAAGAAAACCTCATCTTTCTGCCTGAGAAGCTCCTGGTGGTTTTGAACTGCTGACTTTGTAGTCAGCAGCCCCAGGTATAACCCACTATACAACAAATTGTTCGTCAACACGTTAAGGCTGTAAATGACTGAAGACATTTACCCATGTACAGATAGAGATTGTTTGTCATTGCTTAGATGAAGAACGAAGAAATGCAATTGTTGTATTTCTTTTTAGGGTGTCATTTTCATATTGTGGAGTCAGGTGTGTGTGTGTGTGTGTGTGTGTGTGTTTAAGATATGTAATCACTTCTACAATGCATTGAGATGAGAACATTTATTAAAGTGCAATACCAGTGATCATAATCAATAGTTCATTATATTTACATCATCAAGGCCTTTGAAGAAAATGTACATAAATCTGCTGTTACACAAATTTTCTGTCATTCAGAAAGTTAAGGATGAGCTCTGCATTTTTAAAGTATACCGTTTCTGTTGCCCATTATTCCACTAGAGGGTAGTATTGGCAAAAAGATACATGTTTGGTCAGTTTGGTCGTTAAAAATGTATCATTTAGACACCTGATAGCTTGCTTAAGGTTGCTAACGATTTTTATCAGTGCGAATAACAATGAGTATTGATGTTTCAAGAGACTACTCTGACTGGACCCTAGCACTTCGTTAGAACACTACCATGCTTTCTTACTTTCTTACGATTACATCTTTGTATGAATAAACTTTGTAATACAATCCCATATATCGCACAAGTAAAATGGTATATGAAAGTATTTAGTCAACAGCATAGAGCCCTGGCAACATTGCCAGATAAGCATTGGACTGCTAACTTCAAGGTCAGTGGTTCAAACTCCATAGCTTCTAGGAGTGAGGAGGAGGAAGTGATCTACTGCAGCAAAGATGGACAGCCCCAGACACCTACATAGGGTAGGAGCAATTAAGAACAAGAAAATGAGTTCCGTTTACTTTCTACATTAATACTTAAAATAATCATTTCCAGTTTTTGAGCTTGCTTGACAGATTTCAACAATCGTCCAATGTCTATTAGCAGATCAAAAACAATTTGCAGTGTCACAAAGTGGACAAGAGAGAAAGCCATGATAATTTTGATTAAGTGGCATCACAGGGAAACAAAGAAATAAAAACTATTCTGGAAGAGAACTAAGCGATGGCAATATGTTGAATATGCACAAAGCTGGCTGGCCTTTCCCAGACTTCTGCAAACCAGGAAGGGACACAGCTGGTTGGTCAGTAGGCAGAAAGGCTCCGCTTATTCTGTAACACTGTCTAGCATAAGCACTCCCCAGTTGGTTGAACTGTTTGGCTGCCCTGTCCTCCAAAATCCCCAAAGGCTTTTTGGGCTGATAGCCCTCTTCCTTGGCAGATTGCACACGTCTATTCTCCTCTGCCTATTACCAGCTCAGTTTTCCCTCCCCCCACCCTCTGCTGGCTGTTTCTCCAATTGTCTGTCTTCTCACTTTCCTCCACTTGGATTCTTCCTTGTCATCTTTTATTTCTCTCCTCTCTTTTCTGCAGGTAGACTTAAAAAAAAAGCCACATTGCCACTCACGCAAATATAATGGTAAAGTGGAAAAGTGTTGCTCTGAAATCATGGAACGTTTTCTGAAACAAAAAGCAAAGTGTGTGCTATTATTTCCCAACAAGTCTTCCTTCAGGTCTAGACACATCTGAAGGGGGCGTTGCCATCTCTCTAGCCCATCCACCCAAAGAATCCGACACTCCTTGCTTTATCCCAGGTCACCATGGCAGTTCTGGCAACCTTCAAGAACTCAGGTAGTGCTCCT